GACACAGCTCTGGGACCCCCAGGGTGACACAGCTCTGGGACCCCCAGACATGGTTATGGGACCCCTGGACACGAGGGGACACAGCTCTGGGACCCCTGGACATGGGGGGACACAGCTCTGGGACCCCCAGGGTGACACAGCTCTGGACCCCCACCCTGGCAGCTCCCCCCCAGCTCTTGGCCATGGCCGAGGGGGCTCTGGGCCGCTGGTCCCCGGGGTGAGGGGGCACAAAGGACCCCCCTCCGAGGTGGGGATGCTCCGAGAACATGAGGGGGCAAAAAGGACCCCCCTCCAAGGGGGGGATGCTCCAAGAACAGGGAGAAGCTCCGACACAGGGTCCTGCCCCCAAAGCCAACACTTCCCCCCACCCGGGGCTGCCACTCCCCACTCCCCCAAAGCTCCCGAGGGATGGGAGGAAGGAATGACCCTCCCCCAAAAAAGGCCGAGCTGCAGCACTTACCCCCAGCCCCCCGCAGGGCAGCATGACAAACATCCGCTGGGACAGGATCCCTGCGGGACAGGGGACACTCAGCACACCGGGAACAGGGAATTGGGGACACTCAGGACACCGGGAATGGGGAATTGGGGGGTGGGAAATGCTCAGCCAGGACTGGGAGGAGTCTGGGAGAAGGGACACTGAGGACACCAGGGAATTGGGGAATTGAGGGGTGGGAAATGCTCAGCCAGGACTGGGAGCAGCACCCAGGGGAGCTGCTGAGGATGCTCCAGGAGCTCCAGGAGCCGCAGGGGTTGGGATGGGCTGGGCTGGGAGCTGCTGAGGGAGCTCCAGGAGCTCCAGGAGCTGCAGGGCCAGGGTTGGGGTGGGTTGGGAGCTGCTGAGGGAGCTCCAGGAGCTGCAGGGCTGGGGCTGGGATGGGAGCTGCTGAGGGTGCTCCAGGAGCTCCAGGAGCCGCAGGGCCGGGGCTGGGATGAGTTGGGAGCTCAGACCCACCCGCCAGCTTGCCATTGTCCAGCTTGAGGCGGTTGAGGGGGTTGGTGCCGTAGAGGAAGACGTGGCGCTCGCTGTGCACACACTGCAGCTCCTCCAGGGTGGCCTTGCGGCCCCGCAGGCACTGGGGGGGCACAGGGGGCTGTCACTCAGGGGGGCGAGGGTGGCACATCTGGCCATGCCAGGGCAGCCCCGGCTCGTACCACCACAGCAACTCCTGCTTCTCACGGTGGGTTTGGACTCAGGCACACCCCTCAGTAAGTGCCAGGGGGTGCCAGCACCATGTCCCCACAGGCAGGTGGCCCAGCTGGAGCAGGCTCGTACCAGGCTGGAAGTGGCACTGATGTCCCCAGAGTCGGCCAAACACCCTGTGCCAGCCCCCTCTGCCCCCATGCCACCCCCCGTGCCACCCCCGTGCCCCCCTGACCTCGCAGCGGCCGCGCAGCCCCCTCTCCTGCAGTCGGGACCAGATGCTCTGGATCCTCCCGGCGTGCTCGGGGTGGTTGCTGTTGTCCCCACATGAGCACTGGTGCTTCAGCATCACCGAGTCGTAAACCAGCCCTGCCACGGGCACAGGGACAGCTGCTGTGTCCGGGCTGGGTAGGGCACCCAGGGCTGCCCCTGACCCAGCACTGCCCCCGATCCAGCACTGCCTCTGATCCAGCACTGCCCCCAATCCAGCTCTGTGCCCGGGCTGGCCAGGGCACCAGGGCTGCCCCTGACCCAGCAGTGCCCCTGACCCAGCTCTGTGCCCAGGCTGGGCAGGACATCGAGCACTGCCCCCGATCAAAAAAAGGAGCCTCGTGGCACTAAAATGGACCCTCGTGGCACTAAAAAGGACCCTCGTGGCACAAAAAAGGACCTTTGTGGCACAAAAAAGGACCTTTGTGGCACAAAAAAGGACACTCGTGGCACAGAAAAAGGAGCCTCATGGCACTATAAAAGGAGCCTCATGGCACTAAAAAAGGAGCCTCATGGCACTAAAAAGGACCCTCGTGGCACAAAAAAGGACCCTCTTGGCACAGAAAAGGAGCCTTGTGGCACAAAAAAGGAGCCTCAGAAAAGTAGCCTCGTGGGACAAAAAAGGAGCCTTGTGGCACAAAAAAAGGACCCTTGTGGTACAAAAAAACCCTTGTGGCACAGAAAAGGAGCCTCGTGGCACAGAAAAGGAGCCTCGTGGCACAGAAAAGGAGCCTCGTGGCACAGAAAAAGGACCCTCATGACTTGCTCCTGCCCCTCCCAGACACAGTTCTGGGACCCCTGGACATGAGGGGACACAGCTCTGGGACCCCCGGACTCCCGAGGCTGGCAGCGATGCCAGGACTGATGCCAGGCTGCCCCAAGTGCCCCCCAGCTCCGGTGCCTACCCCGCTGGCACGGCCCCGGGTACCTGTGGTGAAGTGTGGCTTTGCCGGGGGCTCCTGCCCGGGCAGGGCCAGGCCCTTGGCGCTGTCCTGGGCTGGCAGGGACACGGTGGCCGTGGCAGGGGAGGACTGTGCCCGGGAGAGGGGCCTGTGCCCCGTGGGCAGGGTGGGCACGGCGGGGGAGTCCAGGGGCTGGCGCTTGAGGAGCTGCTGCTGCACCCGCTGGTAGGAGTCCCACAGGTAGGCCTGGGGGGCACAGGGCACGGTGAGGGCTGGGGACAAAGATCTCTGGGGACAAAGATTGGGCAGCTGGGGACAAAGATCTCTGGGGACAAACACCAGCGATTTGGGGACAAACACCAGCGGTTTGGGACAAACACCTGCAATTTGGGGGGATGCTTGGCAGTGTGAGGGCAATGCCCAGCAATGTGGGGACAAAGTCCAGCAATGTGGGGACAAAGGTTGCTCAGCAATGTGAGGACAATGCCCAGACATTTAGGGACAAAGCCCAGCAATTTGGGGACAAAGTCCACCAATGTGGGGACAAAGTCCACCAATGTGAGGACAATGCCCAGACATTTGGGGACAAAGTCCAGCAATGTGGGGACAAAAAGTCCAACAATTTGGGGACAAAGTCCAACAATCTGGGGCCGAAGCTCAGCAATGTGAGGACAATGTCCAGACATTTAGGGACAAAGCCCAGCAATTTGGGGACAAAGTCCACCAATGTGAGGACAATGCCCAGACATTTGGGGACAAAGTCCAGCAATTTGGGGACAAAGCCCAGCGATTTGGGGACAAAGTCCAACACTTTGGGGGCAAAGTCCAGCAATGTGGGGACCAAGTCCAGCGATTTGGGGACAAGGTCCAGCAGTATGGGGACAAAGTCCAGCAATGTGGGGACAACACTCAGCAATCTGGGGACAAAGCCCAGTGATTTGGGGACAAAGTCCAGCAGTGTGGGGACAAAGTCCAACAATTTGGGGACAAAGTCCAACAATTTGGGGATGATGCTCAGCGATTTGGGGACAA